GCGCCATCTTGGCCTCGGCGGCGTCCATCTGGTAGATGAAGCCGGCGAGGAGCTTCCCGCGTACAAACCCATGCGACGCTTCGAGCGACGGGCACTCGGGCAGGTCGATCGAGCTCAAAACGCGCACAAGCATGTCGTTGCCGCGCGCGTCGACGATGCGGTCGAGCACCTCGAGCACGCAGTAGTCGCGGTTGGTCACCATCATGCTCGCCGACTTGGTCGCATACCACTTGATGCCGACGTACCGGTACGGATTCGACGCCGTGCGTGGCACGATGCTCTGGAGCACGGCGGCGTCGACCACGCGCGGGTTGAGTTTCTTCATGAGACGACGAAAGAGGCCGTCGTCGTGGGCCGAGAAGGCGCGCGCAATGTCGTCGAGCGACGCTTGCAGCGAGCTCTTGCAGCCGACCTCGGCGATGTTGCTCTTGCTGACGTTGGGCGCGAGGCGCGGCTTGGCGGTAAAGTTGCGGTAGACCGACACGCCCTTCTTCTCGTGCACGGGCACCCACGAGTTCTTGTGGAAGTCCGAGAGCGCAAACACCTTGCGGATCGCCGACTCAGCGTACTCGGCGTACTGCAGCCGCTCGGCCTCGGTCATGTTGCTCATGTTAAAGTAGCCTCGCGGCAGCGGCAGCGACGCCATCGTGCTTGGCGAATCTGGAAATGACAGGCGCTTGGTCGGGCCAAGGCCAAAGAGCCGGACTGCTACACGCGCGTCATTACACCCCAACTGTCTTTCCACGCCGACCCTCAAACTCAATTTCTGCACGAGACGCCGTGTAAATTCTCAAAACATCACAGTGTTGAGATTCAGGCCACCGCGTCTGGTCGGCGCTCGTGACGCGCCGCTGGACCAATGCCAACACTTGCTCCATTATTGTGGTGTCAATCTACATCTCTATTGATTGATTGATTGATTTGACGTTAGTCGAGCGTTGGGGAGTTTGTCAATAGGAAGACGACGACGAGCTACGGCCTTGAAAGCGGCGGCGGCCACATACGCGTGTACACTGTACGACGGCGCTTGGTTGTGTGGCGCCAGTGGTTGATGTCGCTGAGTCCGCACCGCCCACTCTTGCTTGCCGCTCCCTCTCCGTGTGCCGAGTCATCGACGTTCGAGACGAGGTCGACTCGGTCCCAAGCTCCGTGGCGCCGAAGCAAAAGTAGCTGCTGCCTCGTCGTGGCCTCGTCACGGGTGGGCGTGGACAGCTCGCGATGGCACGACCAAGCTTGCCGTCGCAACGCTTGAAAATTCGATACATTTTTCAACGCCGTTCGAATTGGGGTACGCAGCTGGAGACATACAGTGTACTTCGTACTGACAGGATTATTATTAGTGTTGGACTGGAACGAATGTGGTTAGACAGTCAGATACTACACCTACAGTACGTATGCCACGAAACGATATGGCCGCGGATTCGGCGGGTCGACACCAGCGACGACGACGAGCTCTCGGCCTCTCGACTGTGAAAATGGACGCGCCAAAGGTGGACTCGGTCGTGACGACTCGTGTGTATGCGTCGTAGACACGCAGTCGTCAGTGTCTGGTTCGCGCGACACTCGATAAGCTGGCGCCGCCAGGGAAGCGTCCATGTATAACAGCGTGTACAGTAATGCGTGGGGCCCGCGGAAAGGACTGCCTGGCGACGCGGTTACACTGTCTGATACAGAATTTGCCGCGGGCTGTAATTCTAGACAGGCACCACGGGCCATGGACGAAACTGATTCGCAGCGTTGGGTCCTGCGCAACGTTCCCGCAACCTGCTCGGAACGCGCACTCGGACAATAGTGTCCATGGACTGCGGCGTCGACCACGGATAACTACATGTATTATGACCCATCGGCAGTGTTGACACGTGGGCGGTTGAGCTTTGGCGAGCTCCTTGGATAATGCAATGTGGCCACATCAACGCGGTTGCGAGTAGATAAATGGTCGGCTAGTATTGTTTGGGAGCAACGAGCTTTCGGAAGGCCACGTTACGGCGTGCCTCTTCGTTCGTCGCGAGCTCCAACAGCGTCATGAGGTCCGCGCCGAGCGTGTCGACGTCGGCGGCGCGGAGCTGGCGCAGAATGCGCCACGCAAAGCGAGACGTGGTCGTGGACCCGCGCCACTGGCGTTCGAGCCCGCTGATCGCCTTCTCGAGCAGCTCTTGGAGCCCGACGCAAAAGTGCGTAAAATACCGATCCCGCGACGTTTCATAAAGGGCCCTAACCCCACGAGGACATTATTCGCACATTAAACGCGAAGGCGTTCAACGCACACCGCTCGTTCGACGTCGCAGTACCATGCTGGCTTGACATCGACGGATGGTCGCTCTGGGGACCTCGCAGCGATGGTTTTGGCCCGCTCGAGAATCCACGCCACACGATCGTCCTCGTCGGCACTAGTCCGTGGTGGAAGCGACAGGGGCTCTTCCACCGTCGTGTCAAAGTGTTCAACCGATGGAACGCGACGGGGTGGTGGCACGTGCAATCCCCCGATACGCTCGTACGTGCGGAAAGCATGCACGACCAAGAGGAGCCAGCCCCGTGGCGTAGTCT